TCTAGTGTTACCTGTCTCTTATCTGAGTGTTGGAATGGTTCTTGGACTGTAGCAGTGGTTATGAAAATTCCAACCTTTGTCCCAATCCCAGTCACTGCGGACCCAGATAAATTCCCCATTGTTGAACTACTCAGAGTCCGCAGAGATTTTGGAATTACGGCAGCTATAGTGACAGCTGTGGCAGTGTCTGCTGCTGCAGCAGTTACAGCTGGAGTGGCCATGGCCAGTCAAGTACAAACTGCTGCCACTATTAATCAAGTTGTTCAACAAACTTCCACCATACTTGAATCCCAAAATTCAATTAATCAACATATTTTGTCAGGGATTTTAGCTGCCAACCAAAGAATAGATTTACTCCAAACTCAGGTAGAAGAATTGGCTGACTTGGTGCTTTTGGGTTGTGTTGACCAACGTGCACATTTATGCATAACCTCTGTCAGATTTAATGATTCCAGGAATGCCTCCCGCATCATTGGCGAATATTTGGCCGGAAATTGGTCCATGGCAGCGGAAGACATGATCCAGTCTCAACTAACCCAGATAGCTGTCTTGAACAGTACCCGTGTCGAACCAGTGACTTTGGGTCAATTCACCGATTGGATATCTTCTGCTTTTTCCTTCTTCAAAGAGTGGGTGGGAGTAGGCATTTTTGGTGCAATGTGTTGCTTCAGTGTTATACTTTGTTTGTGGTTTCTCTGTCGCCTTAAAACTCGCCATGCACAAGAAAAGGCTATGATCATACAAGCTCTTGCAGCTTTAGAAAATGGCAACTCACCTCAAGTCTGGCTTGCGCATCTTAAACAGTAAACCTTTGTCATGGTCGTTGCACCCCAAGTTATTATAACATTGCACTGGGATCGACATGACTTTCCTTGTTATTCTCTTAGTGTTGGAAAGCCCTTGCACTCTGCTGGTCTTGCTGCCATTGCACGCAGATGGGTTTCCACACTAATGCTTTACTATCGCTTTAAAGTCCGTGCCTTTCTTTCAGGGTGCTGCCAACTTGTTTGTCATTAATACAGCCACAGTTCAGCCTCAGCTATCCCCCTTCGTCCACCATCGTCACGATACAGGATGCGAGGCAAGGCACTGCACTTGAGTGATCCTTGACGTGGACCTCAAGGAGAGCATGTCCTATTGCATGCGGGTTAGACGCGTCCACGCCCCGCCCCACGAAAAAAGGCGTCGGCTGATATGGCCTCGGATCTGGGGAAGGGCCCTCCTTAGGACTGAGCCATACTATGCAGCCACTTCTGCACAGTGGGATAGGACCTCTACTCTCGCCTGTATTGTTTTAATAAAACAGAAAGGGGGAACTGTGGTGAGCCGCTTCTGCCGTTTCTGCAGACTATGGTCGCCATTACGAGATGGCGCTGGCTCCGCTGTGGTATGTGACAAACAACTCCTTATCTGAGAGAGTTGGCACATGATTTTTCACCACCCTGTGAGAGAGTTCCACGCGGCAGCTTTGCATTGGGGCTTGGGATGCTTTATTAAGGCTGGGAGGGCATCCGGGAGCAGAGAGAAGAAGAAAGAATAATAAATATCAAGGGCCCGAATAAACTACTGAGAGAAGATTTCGGAGTTGCGTCTTCCTTGCGGGCAAGGGGTCGCGACAGATGTGTAACTGATGTGATTGTGCAATCTGTATATGGGGTAAAAATGGGAGCTCATAACCCACTTGAATCAAATTGTGAAATATGATATATCAAGAACTATGTAATGTTTTGAACAGCCAACAATAAAAAATTAAAAAAAAAAAAAAAAAAAAAAAAAAAAAAAAAAGACACATTTCTAGAGCAGTCCAGACTTTTTGAATATTTTCTATTGTACTCTTAGATAGCTTAGCAGAGAGGCAGCATTTAGACAATTTTCTACCTGGCCTCTCCCAAGTATGCAAATCTGGTGAATTTTCCTCACAAAACCATGGGCATACATCACTAAAGGTTTTCAGGAATTGAACCAGCTGGGCCCTTTTGACCTGTTTCCCTCTCAGGTTAATTAAAATCTCCAGGATCATCAGATAATCTTTTTTTTTTTTTCCTGAAGATGTGGAATTGTCCATGTTAGTTCTTTAATGTCCCCAGCTCTCAGTCTGCCTGCTTGTTTTACAACCCTAAAACATGATTCACTGAATTTCTAACGCACGCTCACCCAAGTATACCTATAAATTCACTCCAAGAGGTACCTTGTTCTGAGTGCCACCTGCTGCCTCTGACCAGCATGGGCAGCTGAACTAAGATCACTCATGTGAATTTGCAGGGACACAAAATAAAACAGACATAATTCGCCTTTACTTAAGCTTTAGGACAGTTTCCCCAGCTCTTGGCCTTAGGCTCCCCAAAAGGTAGAGCAAGAGAAAGTCACGAGAGGCTGATGAGAGAGAGAGTGAGCACATTCAGAAGTCAGCCTTTATTGTGGGGACACTTCTTACAAAGTTCTATCCATAAAAAGACAGAAGGGGTAGGATTACAAGGGAACAGTTGAGTGTAACTCAGCCCTATGGGTATACCCTTGCAGTTAGATATTCCTGAAAATCATAAAATACCATAGTTACTCTTATTTTGGTATCTTCTGCTTTGAAGGGGGCAGATTATTAGCTTTATATGAACAATCTTTAAAAGACTAACATACCTACATGCAGAAATGAAAGCAGGGATTTCAAATTTTATCCTGTTTTCAGTTACCCATTGGGCTTCCACAGGCCCAGTTGAAGAGTCAGTGCTCTTTTGCAAAGGCAGCCTCTAAATTCCTAAATTTAGAGGCTAAATTTAGGAATTTTAAATGTTAAATTTACTAGCATAAGTTAGTTTTTTTAAATTTGCCAAAATAAAACTCATACATTTGTTACTTTGCTGTTCTTTGGAAATATGGATCTGGATTGTTATAATGTGAAAATGTATCTTGACTCATATTAAAAAATATATTACAATTTAACTTTGGTTCTGTAATAACAAAAATCAGAAATTAAAATGAGGTAATAAATCAAAATACATATTTTCCAAGTAGGTGTTCAAGAACCAATTAGACAGATAAGAATCGGTTTGACAATTTTAAACACGAGTCCCTAACTCTTTCTGTAAAGAGCCGGATAGCAAACATTTTAGGCTTTAGAGTCCCTAGGAGTTCTGCTCCAACTACTCAACTCTGTTGTGGGATAAAAGAAGCTGTTAGTCAGCTTTTCATTTTTGTGACAAATACTTGAAAAAATCAACTTAAGGGAGGGAAGATTTATTTTGGTTTATAGTTTCAGGGGTTTCAGACCATCCAAGGTTTCAGAAAATCCAAGGCAGAAACATCATGGTGGAAGGGTTTGGTGGAGGAAAGCTGTTTACCTCATGGCTACTGGGAAGAAGAGAGAGAGAGGGGATGAGGCTGTCTGGGGACAAGATCTACCCTTCCAGGGCATGTCCACAAGTGACCTACTTCTTCCAACTAGACCCCATCCCCTAGTTTTCACTACCTACCAATAATGCCATCAAAAAAATTACTTTCTCAATGGATGAATCCACTGAAGAGGTCAGAGCCCTCATGATCCAATCACATCCCCAAATCACTATGTCTGAAATTATTGCATTGGGGTCCAAGCTTTCAACCCTGGAGTTTATGGGGAGCATTTATCTAAACCAAAACCACAGCCAAACACAATACTTAAACAAGTGAGCATGGCTATGTTTCAATAAAACTTTATTTACAAAGACACATAGGCTGAACTTTGCCAAAACTGTCCTTAAGAAGTGAGAAAGAGATCTCTTTATCTTTTCTTCTCTCTTTTTAAATTTTGCAATGGTAGGGATCACACCCAGGGCTTCTGCAAACTAGGCAAATGCTCTACCTCTGAGTTGCACCCTTAGCCCCATATGAAGAGGATGTTATGGAGAAAGTTGTCTCCAACCCTCCTAAGAATCTCATCTTGGGCTTAGAGAGGAGGCTTCAGGAGGTCCTCTTAGAGACTTTGGCCAGTGTCACCCCAACTTTACAAGGCATGTTGCTCCTAAGACTGGATATTGACTGCATTTTTTATCAATGGCAGAACCAGCATCTGCAAGTAATTCCTATGTACCTGAGATAGGTCATGGTGGAGACAGCACTGGCTAGGCTGACTGAAGTTGAGATCAAAAGAACCCCCAGGAGACTAGGACTCCAACAGACAGTTCTGTGTAGTGTTGACTGACCTGAGACAGAAGGGGAAGGGACACCAAAGAAAAAAGTGACTGGCATTCTAATTTCTAAATTTAGACTGTGTTTAACCAGAGCATTTATTATTATTTTAAAAATATTATTGAGTAGAAGTAAAACAGGCCAGACACAGAAAGACAAATACTGCATTCTCTCACTTACCTGTGGAATCTAAAAAATTGAACTTGTAGAAGCAAATACTAGAATGGTGGTTATTAAGGGCACAGGAATTGGGGTGTGCTTGGAAACAGGAAGATGTTTGTCAAAATGTACAAAGTTTATGTTAGAAGACATAAGTTTTAGAGATCTATTATACAGCTTAGTGACTATAGTGTTATGTTAGATTCTTGAAAATTGCTTAGATGATAGATTTTAAATGTTCTCACACACACAAAAAAAATTAAGTTTGTAAGGGTTTGGATATATTAATCAGCTTTTTAAATCATTTTAAAATGTATATACATTTCATAATCAATAAATCTATACAATTTTAGTTTGTAAGATTAAAAATAATAATGAAGATAGAGATAATAAATCATGGAGGTGAAATTTCATGGGGAACAAGGGAAAACCTTCCCTCAGTTAAAAAAAAATTCTAATGAGATTCTGAAGACAAAAACCTGTTGCATTATTTGGTGCTTATTTTCACAAACCTTTTTATAACAAAATTTCAAAGGCACAGTCAACAGGAGAGAGAGACATAAAAAGAACTCCCGTGTTCCCATCATGCAGTAACTGGTAGCTCAGTTCCCTTTGGCAGTCACACTCCCCGTCACCTTTCACCACCCCCACCACCCCATACAGAATTACTTTGAAGCAAATCGTAAATCACATCATTTATTCAAAAATACTGGAGTGTATATCTCTAAAAGAAAAAAAAAAAGACTTGTAAAAAGTGTAAGCATGTTATCATCATCTCACCTAACAAATCAACAATAACCTTACATTCTCAAATATCGAGTCAGTGTTCAAATTTCTGATTGCTTAATAATTTCTTTTAGTATTGGTTTGTGCAGTTCAGGATCCAAAATTTAAGTGTTGCATTTAGTTGGTAAGTTTCCTATAATCTTTAGTCTCCCTCTTTTTTGTTTTTGTTTGTTTTGGTTTTGAATTGATTTTGTTTTCTTTTTGTTGAAGAAATCAAATTTTTTTGAACTGTGAGTTTCTGCTTTCTGGATATGTTGATTGCATATCTGTGCTTGTATTTAACAATATGCTTTCTTTTTTGTGTTTGTTTTAAAAGAGAAGTAAGATCTAGATGGTTGATCAAATTCAGTTTTAATCGTTTGGCAAGAACATCTCATGGGTGATACACTGCTATGGTTCTTCCAGCTCGGAAAAGTCAGATTTTCTCTGTGATGTTCATATCAATCAGGATTAGGACCATCTGATTAATTGGTTATAAAGTTTTTTCTTTAAAATCAGTATTCCATCTAATGGGTTTGGCAGCCATTGATGATATCCATAATTTTATTAGAAGAAAACTATACGCTGATTCTATCTTGCAGGTTACATTTTTTCAACATATGGGTTATACATATATCTTGCCAGTGCATTGGGATCCCCTGGGTGGGGAACTCAGTAATCTTTTCAGGAGTTCTTTTTGTTCACAGTCTTTGGAGTTTGGGTGCATTTCTCCATTTGTTTATTTGGAGGGAGGTTTATAAACTCAGTAGCTAGTTCCCCAGTCTGCTTTGGTAAGATCTGCTGACCTCTGTGGGGATGACCTTTAGAGAAACGGGTGACCCTTCTCCTTGGAAGACCTATAAATGACAAACACAGGATACATTTAAGATCTACTTGGTCAGAATAAATGTTGCTTCTCATCTTGAGAGGTTTTTGATATTTTGGAGAAATGTTTTCCAGATAGTCCAATATCTTGGAAGCAAAACAATTTTTTTTTCTTATTTTGAAAAAATGTCACATTTGAGAAGAAAGTAGATCCTTGTACTCAATCCATGCCTTGGTGGAGTTACTGGGGGAAGCAGTGGGGTTCCATATGGCTGACTTTCTAAGTCTGTCTCTCTTAATTGCATCCACAGCTCCTTATTATTTTGTCCTTCGTGGTGTTATCCAAACCCAGGGAGGGATTTGCTGCTTTCCACATCTCTCCCTCGTTCCTTCTTCACCATAATCTTTATAGGAATCACCAAATGTTTAATGTGATAGCAAATTAAATATTGTTTGTGTAGGTCTGAAAAGTCAGGGGCTATGTCTAAAAATTTGCCAATTTAAAGTATGGTTCTTGGATCTAAATCAAATTAGGTGGTTTGAGAATGAGACCACCTTCCTGGAGGAAGATTAGGCTCTTAAACAATTTCAATGTCATAGGCAAGTGGGCCTCCAATGGAAAATCCCAGATAAAAAGACACTTTTTCTATGCTCCTGCCACTTCTAAGTTGACCCAAGAAAGCAGGTGTGATGGGTATTGTGATTTTTTCATTGATCCCATACTCTATGTATAAACAATTATTTTCAGCTCGTCCTTGCAAACGAAGCAAAAGGTCTTGGACTTTTTTCTCCTTCCACACATCTCCACTTTGCCACACAAAATTAATATCAGGTGTCTTTCCAAAGCATTGATCGATTTTTCCTTTGTGGACAAGTCTGTTCATATTGTTTCCTTTTCCAAGAAAGAAATATGCGATAGGTTGCTTTGTACGATACATGTGCTTATATTGCCCCCTGAAAGAATTTTGCAATGATTGAGCATACTTTTCCATTTGTTTAGAATCCTGATCCAGTTGTTGGTTTTCTGGCCAGAATAAGAGTGAAGCTAGGAAATAAGGTTCTGAATATTGGTAAGTTGGTCCTACTTGTTGCAAGACATCTCGAAGCTGTTCTTTCAGTTTTTTAATTGACTTCACTAGTTTGGAGGCAGGTTTAATACAAAAGAGAATGATGTTGGCCAAGATGAAGTTTTGCTTTTCCTTTAGGTGCATTTTGACAATACATTGTTCAGAGAGAAAAGTATATTTGTTCACTATATCTTCCATGGTGCTTATAGCATCTTCTTGACTTTTGATAAGATATTCTAGGAGCCCAGAAAACTTATCTGCTTTTAAAGCTTCTAGGGTTCTTCGATTTCTCTCTACTTGAAGTGGCAAATGGAGTTTTGATCCAACATCTCTGCTATGTGATTCTGCTAAGGGACCAAATATATCTACATACTTCTTGAAAGATACAGCTACTTTCCTCCGAGTTTTGGCCTCTTCATTTTGCTTAATGTTGTTCCTGGGTTTTAGAAGGACAAAGTAATCATCAAAAAAATCAAAGGACTTCTTCAAAGAAGATTGCAATGTAGTTAGATAAGGAATAAAGTTCTTGAGGACCATTTTAAATTCATTTGTATCACCTGGAATATCACTATTTCCTGATATAAAATTGACCATATATCTTTTAGACAGTTCATTTTTATTGTCAAAAAATGGAATGAGCTGGAGAATCTGGATTGTGTAAAGTCCAACTTCTATCTCTCCTTGATAGCCAGCGATGTTGTAAGTGTCATACCTCCTTTTTGACTTCTGATACAGTCTTTCCTTCACTTCATATTCTCGATCTTCACTTTGCTGTTGAGATTCTCTGAATGCACTGGAGGCATGTACAGCTAATTCCAGAAGATTAGTTAGGTCATCAACTGAAATGTTCCTATTTCTTCCATTATCTTCTATCCACCATCTTATTTTACTTTTGTAGACTTGACCCAGTGTGTCTGAGATATAGGAATTGTCAGGTTCTATCTTTTTGGCTTGTTTTGCCCACTTCAGAGCATTGCTGAAATCCTTCTCTTTAAGGTAGAAATGTCTTGACAAGGCTTGGCACATGAATGCATTTGGGTTGAATCGACTGATACCTTCAAGCAATACAGCTTTAACTGCCTCATTGCCTTCATCTTTATGTAATGCTTCAATGAATGGGGAAAACCAGTTTCCTGTACCTTCAGGTTCGTTTCGCTGTCGTGTGAGCAGCAGGGTTTGCATATCTTGGAGAAATTTGCTTTTTCCTATGGCAGCATCATAGAACATATTTTCTGTGAGCAAATCCAGCATAATTTGACTTTTATCCAAGTTATAGCTTTTCTTCAATTCTTCCAGTGAGAGAATCGCAATCAAAGGGTGAATGATGCGCACTCCACAGTATTTCCCACATTCTTCCACCTCTGTTCTTATCAGAATTGTAGAGAAGGTGCCCATTTTGTCTTCAAGTTTTTCTGTTCCCCAGTAAGCCTTCTTGTTTGAGATACCTAAGAACTTCTCACATTGTGAGAGTGAAATGGTGGTATCAGGCACATATGAATTCAGAAGAGCCAGAAAAGAAAAGAGTTTTGCTTCCTTGGTACAAATATTCTGCCCTTTCAGAATATTCCTCACCACATTTTCTATGTACTCTTTATTAAAATTGTTTTTCATGATCATGAAGGAATAAAAATCTTCAAAGTTTTTATGCTGCTCTTTGATTTCTTTCAATTTAAGCTCAAAAGCTCTCTGTTCTTTGGGAGACAGTTGTTGTATTAGGGCAATACTGTCTGAGTTCCTTGCACTTTTTTCAGGATTTTGTGATCTCATGCAATTTAGGATGATCACTAGAGGTCTCTCATATCGAATGTGCTTATTAGCTACAGCTGTGTGAATGGAAGCTTGCAGAAGGTAGACATTATCTTGTTCTTCAAAATCATCAACAAGGAGCAATACTGGTAAGTATTCCTGATGGCCTGATGCCCCATAGGTAATTAAATTGGTCACCTGTTCTCCAATTTCAGAAAAATCCACTGTCTTATTTTTCAGCACAGCACATCTGAATTTCTTCCTTAGATCCCACAGAAGATGCATAGCCAAGGTAGTCCCTCCACAGCCTGGATGATGATACAAATGAAGGATTTTGGCACATGTTTGTTTAGAAGAATCTGCCCAGTTTTGAATCATTTCTTCCAGTCTTTCATACTTATCTCTTTTAACAAAAGATGAAAAATAGCTTTCAGAAGAAAAGTAGAAGTTCCACCATGATACTTTGCCACCTCGGTAGAAGTCTTCCTCTTTGGATGCCTTGAATTCTAATAATTTTTTCTGGTCTTTCTCCAAGAGTGTGTCTTCACATTCATTTTCACAGAGAATTTCCAGGGCAGTCATGATTTCTTCTTCTTTCTTCAGAAGGACAGTAGATGAACCAACTGAGGGCAATAATCTCTTTGAGGATCGAGTTACAGATTTTAGTTTCAGAACAGTGCCATTTATTTCTTCAAGATTTAAGGCAGAAATACATTGGTTTGATAATTCATCTTGGTGTTTCGTTAATCTTGCTTCAAGCAGGTCTTTCCATCCCTGGCATATGTGTGAATGTACACAAATACACAGTATACTTTCCATTCCTTTGAGATCTTGGTAGAAAGCACAGAAAGTCTCGATGAGGGGGTCTCTGGGGTCATCCACAGAGGAGAGTAATAGAAACACCACCAAAAACTTCCCTCTTGGCATTATGTCTTCATGTGTGAGGAATGAAATCAGTTTCCTGACTTCAGAAGCTCTTTCCCTTTGCCAGGAAATTGGATCTAAGGGTTTGTATTTTTCACTGTCAAGGTCTGACCTCCCATTGCAGAAAATCCAGCTGGGTTGCTGGTAAAGATTCAGACTAGAAATCTTGTCACTCCACGTGGTCCCTTCTGCAAACAGACTTGGAGTGTGAAGGTTTGCTACTCGGCTTTCTTTGAAAGCTTTGACGACTCCATTCCTTGCTGATTCGGGATCAAACTCTAACACAGCAAACCACTTGATTTCCTTGAGGAAATCCAAGTGTTTTGTTTGCTCTGGGTTACATTTATTTGTTACAAGAATGTACCAGTCATAGAATGAATTGTCCAGCAAATCTTGATTTCCTGTCAACAGTTTAACTAGCTTGGACCCCTCACTTTTGTTTTTATTTGGCTTTTCTTTGCATTTTTCTTCTGCTTCTTTCCTAGACTCTGCCACTTTTTTTAAGTCTAGTTTAAAAGCTTTGAAGTCCGACTTACTTTTTGTGATGTCCTTAGATTTGGGCCCATCTCTCACAAAGACAGAGTATTTTGAACTTTGTTCCCATGCTTTGTTGTTACAGTTTTGCATTTTGATCTGGAAATAGTCCTCTCCACATTCTGCATATTGTGGAATGACATCCACTTCTATAACAAATCTGTCAGATACAGTACTGTTTGGCAGTAAAACTTCCACAAATCTGGGCTCTCGAATGCACTTCTCTGCTTGTTGGACCTGATGTGCTTCAAAATACTGATGTATCATCTTATGGAAGTGTTCAATTAGGGCTTCTTTAGTGACTTTGGTGATTTGCACACCAACAATTTTTCCATGGGGTTTGTCTTCAACTCCCAAATGAATGGTGCCATTGGTACGTGAATTCATACAAGCTGAGGCAAATCGGAAAACCTCGTTGCTAAATTTCATCTTAATATCCTCTTCTGTGGCTGTTTTTGTATTTGTGAAGGCCTTGAACTCACGTGCTGGATCCATGAGATTGCGTGATCCAGTTTCAGGCTGTAGAATGAAATGTAATTTATAACGATATGGATCACTGGATTCATCAAAAGGATATGGGATACATGTTGGTTCTAGGCATGGCTGCTTCTCCTTTAAGTCATCTGTTTCATCTTCCATGAGCTCATCTTTCAGTGACTTGGAGCCTGTAGCCACTGGACTCGTAGTGGCATTGGACACATCTGAATCGTTGTTATTCTTTTGTTTTTGTTCCAAAGTCTCTTTACTTTCCTTTTGCTTCACAGTTTGTTTTGGGGGAATATTTTTACTGCCTTTTGTCCCCTTAGATGTCTGAGTAGGATCTCGAGAGGATGTTTTCAGTAATTCCTTGAAGAGCTCTTCTATTTGGATAGCTGGTCCATGGGTTATGCCCATATCCACAAGATTCGTTTTGTTTAACCACTTCAGGATGGCACCGTTCACATCCTGGGCCATCAAGGTGTCCCTGTGCTTTTGGTCAACCTTATGGCTTTCTAACCATCGGTTTACATCTTCTTTTGTCCAGTCATCTGTATTTTCTGGAAGGTTTAGTTGCTCTGCCATTGTGATACCTATAGTTAGAGAAAGAATAATCATTTATTGTTTTACCAGTAAAACTTTGAAAGAAGTTATTATGGGTCATATACATGTGTTACAGAATTTTAAAAGGTCTTATCACCAATTTATTCCATGTTATCCCAGGAATGCTACCAAATATGTATGTATGAGCACTTGTCTCCTATGAAGGGCATCAGGCTATCCAAAATTTACTTTACCTTGCTTTTTGCACTAAGTATATGAGAGATGCTGCCAAGTAGTATATGTAGAGATGTTTCATTCTTCTTCATGGTTATTTGCTGTAATGGGCATTTGCTGTGTAATTTAAGAATATTCAATTCTACTATAGAAAATAAAAAGAGGATATATGACAATAAATGTAGATACAAGTTGTTTGTGAAAGGTGATGATAGATGAACTAAATCGAGTTGTCACAGCTAAGAGTCGGTCATAGCTACGAAAGAAGAGAAAGACCAAATAGTCATAAAATATTCATGAGATACATATGAACATTTTTGAGGTATAATTAGGTTACTTGTTGCAACATCATTGTGACCTTTTGTGTTCTCTATTCAGGGAATATAAGTAAAATCCACAGTAGAATATTGGGCTATTCATGACCTATAGCTGGTCAGGCATACTTACTCTGAATCTTCCTGAGGAAAGCCACTGTATGACATTGATCCAGGGCCTTTTCTATCCGCTGAACCCCTTAGGACAGATCTTAACTCTGAACACATGGAGGAAGCTAAGGTTTCTACCCTTGAGATTGGTACAATAATACTGTCAGACTGTCATAAGTTAAGTATATATAGTATAACATCTACAGTAACCAGTGAAAATGTATACAAAATGATGTACTCAAAGACATTGTAAATGGAAATGTAATTGTACTTAATTTTCAAGTAACCCAGAAGAAGGCAGGAAAATAAGACAAAGGAAAAATAGAACAGAGAAGAACAAATATAAATAAACAAATAAACAAACTCAATTTCTAATGTATCAATATTTACATTAAATAAAAATGACTTAATTATGGAAATTAAAAGACAATTTTGTAACCTGAATTCAAAATATACCCAAGTGTATCCTGCCTATGTGACTTTCAGTGGAAATATAATGATATAGGTGGGGTGAAGGTAAAAAAATAGAAAAAGTATGTCAGTCAAAAATTTGGGGGTGGGAGCATGGGGGATTGAATCCATGGACAATTTACCACTGAGCTTCATCCCTAGCCCTTATAAAACATTTTTATTTTGAGACAAGTTCTCTTTAAATTGCTGAGCCTCTGCTTCCTGAGTTGTTGGAACTACAAGTGTACACCACCATATCAAGCTCATACAAATATTAATAAACACAGAAGTAGCTACATGAATGTTGGATAAAATAGTCTTCCAAGTATAGAAATTTGCTAGAGACAGGAATATTATATACTGATAAAAGAGTCAGTCTAACTAGATTTCATAGCAGTCTTAAAGTATAAGCATCAGATAAAAAAGTTGCAAATGTGTGAGTCAAGTACCGATCAAATTTTTCAGTTTTCAACCAATCCACAATTACAGTCAAATATTTCAATACCTTTGTCTTAACCACTGATACAACAGTTAAACAGAATAGTGATGATATAGACAAACTCAACAATATCATTAATTAACAGGTTCTATATCATACTTGTAGCATACTGCAACAAGAACAATAATATTCCATTCTTTTCAAGTGCCAAGATAGACCATATCCTAAATGATGAAACAAACTTCAATAAATTATTAAAAAATTGAAGCCAAAATTTAACCCTTATCTCTCTTCATGCACAAAATTCAACTCAAACTAGATCAAGGACTTAGGCATTAGACCAGAGACCCTGTGCCAACTAGATGAAAATGTAGGCCCAACTTTCCATCATGTCAGCTCAGGAACTGCCTTCCTCAACAAGACTCCTAAAGAACAAGAAGTAAAATCAAGAATTAACAAATGGGGGCTGGGGATGTGGCTCAAGCGGTAGCGTGCTTGCCTGGTTCGATCCTTAGCACCACATACAAACAAAGATGTTGTGTCCGCCGAAAACTAAAAAATAAATATTAAAACAATTCTCTCTCTCTCTCTCTCTCTTAAAAAAAGAATTAACAAATGGGATGGTGTCAAGCTAAAAAGCGTCTTCAGAGGAAAAAAAAAAAACAATCAAGAATGTGAACAGAAAGCCTGTAGAATGGGAGAATCATTACCACCTTTAACTCAGAGCATTTATCTCCAGAATATACAAAGAACTAAAAAAAAAAAAAAAAAACCTAACACCAAAAAACTCAATTGATAAATGGGCAATGGAACCGAACAGACATTCAAAGAAGAAATACTAATAGTTAGCAAATATATGAAAAAATGTTCAATATATCTAGCAATTAGAGAGATGCAAATTAAAACTACACTGAGATTTCATCTCACTCTAGTCAGAATGGCAATTATCAAGAATACAATTAACAATAAATGTCGTTGAGGATGTGGGGAAAAGTTTACACTCCTACATTGCCAGTGGGAGTGTAAATTGGTGCAACCACTCTGGAGAGCAGGATGAAGATTCCTTAAAAAAACTAGGAATGGAACCACCATTTGATATAGTTATACCACTGCTTAGTATATATCCAAAGGACTTAAAATCAGCATACTATAGTGATGCAGCCATATCAATGTTTATAGCAGGTCAATTCACAAAAACTAAACTATGGAACCAGCCTAGGTGCCTTCAACAGATGAGTGGATAAAGAAAATGTGGTATATATACACAGTGAAATATTACTCCACCATAAAGAAGAATGAAATTATGGCATTTATCAATAAATGGATGGAATTGTAGACTATCAACAATGTTAAGTGAAATAAGCCAATCCCAATAAACCAAATGTTGAATGTTCTCTCTAATATATGGATGCTAACACACAACAAGGGGGGAAGGGAAGAATAGAAGTTCATTGGATTAGACAAAGGGGAATGAAGGGAGGGGAGTGGGGGACAGAAATATGAAAGACAATTGAATGAATCTGACATAACTCTCCTATGTATACAGAGGAATATGTCACAGTGAAATTCCACATCACATAAATCCATGAGACTGGAATTCTAAATAGAATAAGATATACCACATGGTTGTATAAATATGTCAAAATACAAGATACTATCAGATATAACTAAAAAAAAATGAAAAAAATTGAAACCACACAGAATGTTTGTTAACCACTAGAAATTGATAACAGAAAAGAGGAATCTCACAAAACATGCTCTTCTAAATCATTCATGGGCCAAAGAGGAAGTCTCAAGTAAAATAAAGAAATATATTGCTATGCGTAAAAATGAAAGTATAACACTTCATTTTAAATTCCAAGCATTTAAAGATTTAACACTGATTCTACACAATCTCCTTCAGAAAACTAAAAAAGAGGAATATCTACCAATTTATTTATGAAACTAGTATTATGCTATTAGAAAGAACAACAAAGACAGCATAAAACATACAACCACAAATCCATATCCTCCATGAATATACAAAAGAACTATTAACATAATAATAGCAAGTAGAACTTAGCAATATAAGAGAATCATAACCTAATTATCTTATGAGATAGGGTTTATTCCAGGGATGCAAGATGGTTGACTATTCAGAAGTCAGTAAGTGAAATCTGCCATAATGACAGGATATCAAAGAAAAATCACATAATCACATCAAAGGATGTGAAAAGAACTTTTTGACAAAATTCAAAACATGCATCATAGTTAAAACTCTTAGAAAAACAGGACCAGAGTAGAGTCTGATAAAGAGTATCTACAAAAAAATCTACAGCTCACACAACTAATGGTGAAACCCAATGCTTTTTCCATTAGAATGGGAGCAAGGAAAGATGCCTAACTCTACTCATACTTCCTTGACAGATTGCTGGAAGTTCTGGCCAGTGCAATAAAGCAAGAAAAGAAGAGGAAAAACAGAGTATGCAAAGGAAGAAATAAAACTGTACTTATTTTCAAATGACTTGATTAGCTACATGGAAAATGACAAATAATTCATAGGATACAATTGAGTTCTTCAATATTTCAGAGCACAAGATAAAAATAAAAATGTCTTTCTATAAGTGAGCAATGAACATATGAAAAAAATATTAAAAATCAATTCCTTTAGGAATCAATAAAAATAAAACCAAAACAAAACAAACAAAAAATCCTGATATACTTCATATATATATAAACATATATGTATAAGTCTAGCAAAACATATAGTTGACTTTTATGCTCAAAAGTACAAAACACTGAAAGAAATCAGGGATCTAAATAAATGGGGACACATACTGTGTTCACGTGGGAATTTTACATAGTATGTATGTTAATTTTCTACAGATATTAAACAGGTTTAACATAATGTGTATCAAAATTCCAGTATGATTCTTTATAGATAAATAAAATTCTTGTAAAATTTGTATGGAGAGGCAAAGGAAGAATACTAGTTTCAAAAATTTTAATAATAATAAAGTGAGAGAAATTGTTTTTTAAAGACATTTTATAACTACAATAATCAAAGCTGCATGGTATTGGTAGAGAGATAGATATACCACTGGAATAGAATAGGATTCCAGAAGTAAACCCACACAAATATGCCCCATTGATATTTAGGACGCAAAAATAATTCAATGAAGATTGGATGGTTGTTTCAACAAATGATGCTGGAGTAATTGGACATCCATATGCAAAAATTAAATAATCCCAACCTGATCTCATACCTTATGCCAAAATTGACTTGGAATGGACTTCCATGTAAAATATAAAATTAAGAAACTTTTAGTAAATACATAGGAGAAAATCTTCATGATCTAGGGCTAGGCAAAAGTTGTACCCCAGGTGAATGATAGTGATCTCAAATGAAAAGTTTACTACAGGGACACAGCCACATCAATGTTTATAGCAGTACAATTCACAATAGCTAAGCTGTGGAACTAACCTAGATGCCCTTCAGTAGATGAATGGATAAAAAAATGTGGCATATATACACAATGGAATATACTCAGAAAAAAAAAAGAGAATAAAATCATGGTGTTTGCAGGTAAATGGATAGAGTTAGAGGAGATAATGCTAAGTGAAGTTAGCCAATTCCAAAAAAACAAATGCTGAATGTCTTCTCTGATATAAGGAGGCTGATTCATAGTGGAGTAGGGAGGTGGGGCATGGGAGGAATAGACAACTTTAGATGGGGCAGAGGGGTGGGAGGGGAAGGGAGGGTCATGGGTTAGAAATGTTGGTGGAATGTGACAGACATCATTATCCAAAGTACATGTATGAAGACACGAATTGGTGTGGATATACTTTGTATAAAACCAGAGATTTGAAAAATTTGTGCTCTATATGTGTAATATGAATTGTAATGCATTCCGCTGTCATATATAAATTTAAAAACATTAAAAAGACTTATTTAGGAAAAATTATGTTCAAAATTGAGTAAGATTTCTATTTTAATGAAATATCTCGGGGCTGGGGATGTGGCTTAAGCGGTATCACGCTCGCCTGGCATGCATGGGGCGCTGGGTTCGATCCTCAGCACCACATAAAAATAAAATAAAGATGTTGTGTCCACTGAAAACTGAAAAATAAATATTAAAAAGTTCTCTCTCTCTCTCTCTCTAAAAAAAAAAGAAAGAAATTCACTATCTCTAAAACATATATCAGCACATCAAAATGCATTTTTTCAGAAATGTCATTAGCACTGATTTCATTTTTCAATGAGTTCACATTTTTTATAAATTTTAAATTGTCCCACGAAGTGCATAAATTTATATATTTATCTATTGATTAAAGATTTACTGAATCATTCAAAACTGTCAAACAGCATCATTCTGTAAATTTGGAATTAAATAAGCCCTTACTATTCAACAGTTTGTAGTATAATTTCATGAAGGCTATAATAGGAATTGTGTTGCAAAAACTCCTCCAGTAATTGTCTGAGGCTCTAGATGTCAGGATATCAAGACTGCATGGATTTAACCCATTCTACGCAAATGAAGAGCTTAGTAGATAATTTTATGGTAGTAACATGAAAACATTCAGCCCTTCATCCTAAAAATGGCAGAGAAGTGGCTGAGTCATGTTGTCTCTCAAATGGTTCATAAGGTCTTCCACTTTTGCATATTAGCAAGCTAAGTCACTCCACTTTTTGCTTATTCACTAAGCCCTTTTTCTCAGCAGTATGAAAGCTCCTCTTAAATAGAATGCACTTTATATTACCATTTACTCCTAATTATATACATCTTTCCTTAGCACGTCTAAGGACCTCTTGTCTCCCACGTTGTAAACTAATTTTTTTGCCTTAATTTGTAAAACCCTATGAATAAGGTATACTTTATTTATGTGTTACCAACTGCATAATCTTTGTTCTTTTTAAAATATAACTTCAGAGCTTTATTAAATGAGGAATCAAAAAATAGAAATTAAAAACTTGCAATGTCATACATTAGAGAGGAAAAATATATAGAACCTAGCAGCAATGAAACTGCTGCACATCAAAACTTATAAAAAGCAGTGTCAACAATATTTATACAAATAGTTATAGCCTTAAGTGCTTTTATAAAAATAGAAAAATGATTGACAGTGAACTAAATGCCAATTTAGTAAACTCAAAGAACAATAAAACAAATATAAGGCAGGAAGAAGGAGGAAGAAAACAAAGGGCAAAAATCTAAAAAATGGAAACCATAGTTCCAACAGAGAGATGGAAAGAAGATCAAAAGTCATCAACAAAGAGTAATAAAGTTGACACACCTGTGGAAGGATTAAACAACAAATAAAAGAGAGATGTCACAAACAGGCAATAAGAGGTGCTGTAAAAATTAAAGCAGTTAGGGAATATTGCAACCAACTGTACATGAGTAAAATTGAAGACTGAGGTTAACAGACAAATTCATCCAAAAATGTAACTTACCAAAACTGACTGGAGAAGGAATGGAAGGAGACCACTTTCCTGTGAGATCACCAAGGCTGCCGATTCTCTCACTGCAACAACAAGAAAGGAGGTGAGGAAAGCTACATGACTTGCCTTTGAAATGATCACGGAGATAACATATTAGATGACAAAGGCCGGATGGACTAAAATTCAGACAGGAAAGAAGCCTAGGTAAGCTTTGGGGCATTTTCTGATTCTGAGCTGGACTTGAGGAGAAGTCATGACCCTCCAGGAGGAAGGGAAACCAGTGTGGCTTTTGACAGTCACAATGTGGATGTGATGGATTGGAACCTAGATGTGCTCCAAAATGTTTAACTATCACCAACATGCAAAATCAAACTTCAGGGAGATGACCCTACGCACCCACCAGAATGGCTACAATGAAAGGCTGACATGCTGGTGAAGAGGTGGGGTCAATGGAGCTCTCAGACATTGCCAGTAGAAACGTAAATTGGAGAAACCGACAGTTTTTGTAAAGTTAATTATGTCTATGACTCAGCAATCCTAATGAAAAATTACTGATACAAGCAAAAACAGAGATGAATCTCACAACTGTAACCCTAAACGAATAGATCCAGTACAACATAAAATATATTGTTGGATTCCATCTATATGAAGTTCAAGAATAGGCAAATTTAATCTACAGCAGAAATCAGAATGACTTGGTGTGGTGATTATTTTCTGAGAAGCACAAGGATCTTGATCTGTGTATAGTCACACACAGTGGTACAGAACAGAAGACACAGAGACAAATCCCCATAAATAACATTATCTCATACTAGGCCAAACTGCCCAAAACACACATTAGAGAAAAGATACCTTCTTCAACAAATGGTGCTTGGAAAACTGGAAATCCATATGTAGCAAAATGAAATTAAACCCCTATATCTCATCCTGCACCAAACTCAACTCAAAGTGGATCAAGGACTTAGGCATTAGACCTAAGACTCTGCACCTAATAGAGGAAAAAGTAGGCCCAAATCTACATCATGTCTGTTTAGGAATAGCCTTCCTTAATAAGCCTCCTAAAGCATAAGTAGTAAAATCAAGAATCAACAAATGGGATGAAATTAAACTAAAAAGCTTCTTCAGGGTAAAGCAAACAATGGTGAATATGAACAGAGTGCCTACAGTTTGGGAGAAAAATTTTTGCCACCTGCACTTCAGAGCATTAATTACCAGAATATACAAAGTAAAAAAACTTAATACCAAAACAACACCACCAACAAAAACAAAGACAAAAAACAAAAACAAAAAACCCATCAATAAAATGGGCTAAGGAACTGAACAGACACTTCAAAGAAGAAATACAAATAGTCAGCAAATATATGAAAAACTGTTCAACATCTCCAGCAATTAGAGAAATGCAAATTAAAACTACACTGAGATTTCATCTCACTCCAGTCAGAATGGCAATTATCAAGAATACAATTAACAATAAATGTTATTGAGGATGTGGGGAAGGGTATACTCATACATTGCTGGTGGGACTGCAAATTGGGGCAACCACTCCGGAGAGCAGGATGGAGAGTCCTCAAAAAAAAAAAAAAAAAAAAAAAAAAAAAACTAGGAATGGAACCATCATTTGACATAGTGGTACCACTGCTTGGTATATATCCAAAGGATTTAAAGTTAGCACACTATAGTGATACATATGTGGCTACATCAATGTTTATAGCAGGTGAATTCACAAGAGCTAAGCTATGGAACCAGCCTAGGTGCCCTTCAACAGATGAATGGATAAAGAAAATGTGGTATATATACACAATGAAAGAACAGTACTTGTCGTGGTCTAACAGCTGGCCCCACCTTCCTTTAGCAATCCTCATATCTAAGCAAAACCTCATATGCTCATATGTCCTTCTGCTGAGCCCTATTACTCCACCCTGTGAAAGTATAGTTCATATCTGTCGCAATAACACTACTGTGACTCATACAGCAGCGGCACCCTGATTGTTTGGCTCCTGGGTGTTCTTGGATTTCTGAGCCTTATATCCAGGGTTCTCATGCCCCATGCCTTGCCCCTTTCATCCTGGACATTTTTCCTGGGCTCTTTCTGACTTCCTCTCTCAATGTTTAAAACACACTCGGCCTTTCCCCACTAGCTGATACAGCATAAACCAGACTGAGACTAAGAAGGGAATTAGATGGATGGTTTGATTTATGCTTGAGCTGCATCCCATATACGTGTAAAAACATAAAGTCAGGGTCTCATACAAGAGTTGGGAAACATAGAACTGGACCTGAACATTTGGCTGAGAAAAAGGAGTGACTTTTCACTATTCTCTACCTATTGTGGATGTTTCTATCGTAACTGAACAGGTTAACTTTTCATACTGCTTCCCCTAAAGCCTCTGTCAGTGTCTTGTTGTTTTGGTATTAAGTTTTGTTTTTTACTTTGTGTATTCTGGTAATTAATGCTCTGAAGTGCAGTGCCTTTCAATAAACCACTTAAAAATATTGAAGATGACACTTTTGGAGCATATTCATGAGAGGAATGAGTTCTCGTGTATGCCACTGTTCACAGATTTTTTTTACCATAAATTAAAATTTCTTTTAAATTATTATTTTATTTTGATACTGGGGATTAAACCCAGAGGTACTTAACCACTGAGCCATATCCCCAGACCTTTTGATTTTTTTTTTTTTTTAATTTTGAGACAGGGTCTCAACAAGTTGCTTAGGACTTCGATAAGTTGCTGAGGTTTGCCTTGAACTTGGGATCTTCCTGCCTCAGGCTCCTAATTCGCTGAGATTACAGGCATGCACCACCATGCCTGGAAATTCTATGTACTTTAAAAAGTCACCTGAAAAGCTGCTTTTGAGCATCCTAGCCACCAGTAAGAAACAGGAAACACAATTTGTTTGATGGTTGAACCCACCATGTAGGTTATGAACTGTTAACCGTGAGATTTGTTAGCTTAAAAATTATTAAAAATGCAATCCTCTTATACTCTCACAATACTTTATTCATTGCTTCCAGGGGAAATCAGACATAAACTATGATTCTACCAGAAACATAAAGCTGCCCAAATTGCAAGGACTTCCTGTAGAAGTCTGTCTGTCATTGATAGACCTTGTCTGACACTAATTTCTAAGAAACTACCAGGAAATTCTGTTTTTTAAGCTGCCTATTCCTTAAGACAGTGGAAAGTATCTTTAAGTAATGTAAACTTTAAAATTTTCATTTTCTGTTCTTTCTGAAAATACTATTATGCATTGGGAATTTCATTCAAAAAAGTCCCTCTAGTTTTCAATTATATCGTTTATGGAATGTTATGACTCATATAAGCAGACTCCTGTCAAGAACAAGCGGTCTGGAAGCTGTAGGCTTAGAATATTACCATATTTAGTTTTGGTGCTTTTCATTTTTCTAAATGCAAAGTGAAATTCTCCCTATTCAACAGATTGCTGCATAGATGTCAGTAATATTAATAAGAGATATTGTACTTACCCTGATTGTCAAATTTCTTCTGTACAAAGGAGCAGAAAATCATCTGTTTTAGTGCAGAAACCATCTGATATCCAGTTTTCTTCCTCCTCGGATGTTAGAAGAGAGTATTTTCTTCATTCCAGTTTTTGTGAAAGCTTATATAGCCTCCTGTCTCAATGCTAGCAGCAACTGACTGAGAAACAATAGGGTGTGTGCGATTCCGGAGGTTGGGGAAGGAAGAAACTTGGCTTGATTTCAGTTTCGTTTCTCAGATCTGAGAGCAGACTTTTCCCTCTGACATGCTTTTCTTGCCACTCACGACTTTACCACCTTCTGGTATGTTTGGTTGAAACCCAAAGACTTAACATCTTTGGATTTTGAAGGCTCTCAAGAGTTTTGAAGGCTGCATAGAGTCCTGTTACATTGCTCATAAATGGACAGATATTGTCCTAATTGATCCCTTGAGAATACCAGTTTTCTTTCTCTCTTTCTTTACACTTAATTATTGTCTTCATTTATTTTCTGTTGAATGACTAAACACTGCAATGGAAATAATTTACAGTTTTATAGGCGGGGAAGTCCAAGGTTGAGAGACTACCTCTAGTAAGTCTTCTTGCTTGTGGTAACTCTCTACAGAGTCCTAAAGTGGCACAGGGACCACAGGACCAGATAGAGCAAGCTTTTCTTATTTGGATATCTCTTTCTTTTTTCACTAACCCACTAAGGAAATCACGAGACCCCTGCCCTCAAGACCTCATCTAATTCTAATTACCTCCCAAAGGCTCCACACCCAAATACCACTAACTTGAGGCCCGGGGGGGGGGGGGGGGACAATTTTCAAATGTTCTCACCACAAAAAATGGTAAATATTTGAGATGATAGATGTGTTAACAAGCTTGAAGTTTGGAGGGTACAAGCACCCAGGCTATGTCAGTTACATCTCAGTGAAGCTTACATTTTTTTATAGTATGCAAATGTTTTTTGGTTAGTAAAAGGCACTTTTATAATTAATATTGGAAATATTTATACTAAATAAATCATCCAAAGAACATTGCTACAAAAGAGTTTATAAAATATGTGCATATTTGAAAAATGTAAAGTGACATCATTAATTCCCTTAAAGTATCATGTGGAGAATTTAAGAGACTTCTCATTGAAGAAGCTTAGTCTGAGGAAAAAAAACCAAATATGTAGACCCTGTCAGAGGCACCTGGCCTGGCCCTCATGGCTAGGCTGTGATGTTTTTTATTTAACATTAACAATTTCAAGAGAAGGCCACCATATTACTTTGATGATTAAGACAAACACATGATCAATATGTAAATACATGTTAATGTAAACAAAAACATAAATATCACCAAATTATAAATGTGACCAAAGATCTCCAAGTCCTAGCTAATATGAGTAACTTTTGCTTCCTTCACCAATCATAGCTAAGTCTCACTCTCCTAGAAGGGGGTTACTGCCCCTATTTCCTTATTGCATCCATTTCAAAGCAAAGCTTTGACCCTTGACCCCTCTTCCCAAATCATCTAATACAAACCATAAGCTATGAGGAGATAGCAATCCCACCAGTCCCTCCTAACCCCTTTTACTGAAAGCACCCCCCCAACTCCTATGCTTTCTCTCTATAAATATGAGTCAATAAATACAAATTTGTTTAATTACAGATATGTTTCTAATGGTCTTTGATTAAGGGTATTGACACTTTAAATGCAGATTTTGCTTAGTTTTTTAACATTGCAAATTGACAATTTGTAATTATATAAATTTATGGGGTATAAAGCAATGTGATAAATTAAATTATGCTAAACTTAATAAGCCAGGCACAAAAAGACAAATACTGCATGTTCTCAGAATTGAAAAGACAATTGAGCTGGTAGAAACAGTGAGTAGAGTGGTTGTTTCAGAGGCTGGGGTAGGAGGAAGGGGATGATGATGGTCAAAGGACACAAGATCTCACAGAAGAATATGTTCATAGAGATCTTTTGCATAGTGTGATGAATACAATTAATAAAGTACTGTACATTTCAAAAATATTGAGAGTAAATTTCAAATGTTCTCATCATAAAGATGGTATTTGAGGTGATATGTTAACTAACTTGATTCAGTCATTCTACATAGTATTCACAAATCTGTGAATTGTAGTCCCAAGCCCTGTGGAGCTCTATGTGAGGATTTCACTGTCCTATTAGGGAGGACTATGTGTCCATCTCTGTTTTCCTACCATGTAAAGGAATGGGTTGCAGGGATTGCTCTGAGCTCCCCTATAAATGCTACAGGACTCCAGGTTAGTCCTACAGAGCAAACCAGGGCTGCAGAACCAAATGTTACAATGCTGATCGATCTTCTCTAAGGTCAGTGTCATGGGCAGGTCAAAACTGCCTAAGTGAGAACAACCAAAATAACTGGTATTTTAACAATTAGCTGGAAGCAGGAACATTTGTTGTGTGTGCTCAATTTGCCGGTGGTTTCCACACCCCACAGTTGATTTACACTGGTTTTAGATGAGTTTTAAACAGTGATTGGGTACTTACCACATACCAGGGATTATTCTAAGTGCTTTATATTAACTTACTTACTCTTTCCAACAAACCCCTGAGGTAGATACTATTGTTATTTCTATTTTACAGGTAAAGAAACTTAAGCACAGAGAGGCTAAAGAATGTGACTAAAGTTAGCACAGCTAGTTCCTAGCAGACACTTGAATCTAGACATCAGGCCAATGGTCATAAGCCCTGAACTTCAGAAAGGAAAAACGGTGGCTGTGAAGGAGAGCCTACCTTGACCATTAGACTCATCATCTACCCGCAGGATTTATTCCAGCAAGGGAACCCTGGGCCTGAGCTCTGAAACTCAGGTTCCACTATCCATTAGACCTGTGTGATGCTTAATTTAAACTGTTGACTCAACTGTGCCATAGGATGCCCAGATATTGTGTCAAATATCCTGGGTGTTTCTGTGAGGGTATTTTTGGATGAATTTAACATTTAAATTGACAGACTGAGTAAAGCAGTCTTCCCTCCATTATATGAGTGGGCCTCATCTAATCAATTGAAGGCCTGAATAAGAGGAAGCCCCTCTTGCCCAACAGCCTTTGGGATGGGCATACTATACAATGGGCTCCATATGATACAATTCCAACTATGTGATCCTCAGGGGAAAAAGAAAAACTATACAAAGTTAAAAGATGAGTACTTGCCAAGGTTTAGAGGAAAGGGGAAAAAAATGAGTACATGGGGCACAGAGGAATTTTAGTGCAGTGAAATATTCTGAATGATACTATAATGGTGGATTCATGTCATTATAAGTTTGTTCAAACTCATAACATGCAACACTAAGAGTGAACCCAAATATAAACTATGGACTCGGGGCAGTTCTGATGCATCAATGTTGGTTCACCAATTGTAAGATAGGAGCTACTCTGCAGAAGATGTTGACAAGGTAGGAGGTTATGCATTAGGTGAGGGGGCAGGGAGTATGTGGGAAATTTCTGTATCTTCCATTCAGTTTTGTTACCAATCTAAAACAGCTTTCAAAAAAACCTCTAATTTTAAAAAGGTATGATTTTTATTTGCTCTCAAGAGCGAATTTTGATCCTGTTGTTTGTGTTGAAGTCCCAGCTAAGAAGGTGTGGTCTAGACTTGCAGATATGTCTACTTGAGTTTCTCATTTCCTTTTCTACCCTGTTGGCTCATTCTGCTATTGCATGTGCATTTCCGGGGCCAGCTGTTTCCTGAAACACTTCTCTAAGGTATGAAAACCAACTTTCCCTCGCCACCCAGAGCACATTGCTGTCTAGCACCTCCCTCCCCCTGCTGGCCTTGATCTCAGCCTGGTCACCCCAGCCGCCATCCTTCTCCTGATGCAGGGAAGCCTCCCAGACTAATCCTGTTTTATGTGTGAGGGGGATTTTCTGCTAAAGATTGGGGCAAAGGGTGGGTATCTCCTTTTCAGGACTTCTTTTAAGCTCTTTGATGGATTATGGTGAGGTTTTTATTTTTGTTTTTAAATTATTTTAAAAACTCACCGGAGATTCCTTCTCTCTCTTTTTTTTTGAGAAATTTTTTTGGGTGCTGGAATCGAACCCAGGGCCTTGTGCATTAGAGGCAAGCACTCTACCAAATGAGCTATATCCTCAGTACCCCCACCCTTTTTTTGAGAATTAAAAAATTATTTTTATGTATATAAAACTCAACATTTAACTTGGGTTAGTGGAGAGTTCTTCAGGCTGCATTTTCCAGTGTGGTGTGAGGACCCCTTTCTTAAAAAGGAAGTTATCCAGAGTCAAGCTCCTTGGGTACTATCTGCTCTGGTTTGAATGTGGTTTGCCCTCCAGAGGTTGATGTGTGGGAAAGTTGTTTCCCGCTGTGTGGTGTTAGGAGGTGGAACCTTTAAGAAATGGGACCTCATGGGAACTCCTTTGGTTATTGGAGGTGCTGCCCTCAGAAGGAATTAGGGTGGTTATGATGGGACCCTTACTTAGTCCTTATGAGAACAAGTCATTATAAAAAGCCTCTGCCTGCTCTCTGGCTTCCTGTCTCACCATATGATATCTCCTTCTTGCCATGCACTCTTGGTGCCATCTGCCTCAAGGCCCTCACTAGAGTAGAGCTGATGCCAGCACCAGCACCATGCCCTCAAACCTACAAAACTCTGAGCTAATTAAACCCTTTTTTTTTTAAGTAGCCAGTCTCAGGAATTTGTTATAGTAACAGAAAACAGACTTATACACCACCACCTGATCTATGTTTCTAACTCATTTGAGATCTTTGGTGTTTTTTTTTTAATTTTCCCATAAAATATTATAAAGTGACAAGCCCAGTTGTTTGTTTGTTTGTTTTCATGACTTAGACTTTGTAAAAAGTCTCATAGTTTTTTTCCCCTTTCCTTGTTTTTATATAAAATTTCTCTTGGGAATAAAATCACCAAAAATTTTGTATCTGGTAAGTTTCTCTTCCTCCCAGATGAAGTAATAATTGACATATGACAATACCAAGAAGTCTCTTAGTTGTGAGACAAGGTTTTTTCAAAAGTTCTGGGCCTACTTCTCTTTTTCTAATTGATTCAGAGTTATTAAGACTGTTATTCTCTCTCTCTCTCTTTTGTTATTATTCTTGTTTATTTAAAAGAAGGTGCCCTTTTTGATATATTTTTCTAATTAAAAAAGTAACATG